CCCAGGGCAGCTGTGGCTACAACTGTAGCTGCCTCCACCAGTGTGTGAATGAATAGTGGAATTGCAAAGCGCTTTGAGGGTCTCGAAAAGTGTTATATAAATGCAATCTATTATTATTTAAAGCTACAGATACTGCAACAGCCCACTGGAACAGCGAACCAAAGAAAAGCATATAGAGAGATGGAAGAAAGAATGATCTGTGCTTGAAAGACACATTTTGGAGATATGTGAGACTTGCGTTAATGTGTTAAAAGGGGTATGATATGGGACCTTCAAGGCCCATATTTACTGTCAGATTCTGAAGTGCAGGATGTGCTAACACTGACTACAGAAAATCAACTTCAAAGTGACAGTGCTGGAAGCAAACCAGATCTAACAGCTGCCCTGGAGTGATAGGACTTCTGAGAAAAGTTAGAGAAGCAGTTCATTTCAGTGCATTTCAAAATTTAGGAGAATAACCTGCAGACTTACCTCCTTTGAGTCACTTGCTCAGAGAATACACGCACATTTATTGCGCTACATCATATATCGATTACCACACATAAAATGGGTGGAAATATTAACTGCGGAGTACAGCATAACACACCCTCCAGACTACAACTTGTTCACTTCCCTTAACCCGTTTCCACCCTTCCCAGGGTTACTCAGCTTGTAGCCATAAACACATCCAACATCAGCACAGGCAGACACAGGCACCAGTGTCCCCTGGCTCCACTGTCCAACACAGGCCTCTTTCATACAGTGGTCAGGCAAACAGCTCGAACACTGCAGGTGCTCTGCATGGGTTGGGTCAAAGGAGCCATTTGGAAAGGACTATTTTTTTTGTTGTTTTCACTCTCTGCATTCATCCACATTTCCAGGAGCCGGAGAGAGTGAAGTGCTGAGAGATTTCACTTCTGTCAGAGCTACGTCGGGTTAGAGTGTTAGATCCAGCAGTCGTTAAAAAGAAAAAGAGAAAACAGAAATTTTAAAAATGCAGCATAATGATGTTGCTCGGCAGGGGAGGCATAGTCTGTAAGTCTGAATGCTGTGTACAGTATATTCATTCATATTTGATCAAAGCACTGGCTTTTGCCAATCCGTAGAGGAAAGCAACATCAGTAATATGGCTTTGGGATTTTGTGTTTTCCTGTAGTCTTTATTTAAAAAGCTACGCATATTCAGGTTTCTTCTGCATGACACAGTAGCAACAGACCTACTTGGGTGGATTAACTATAAAAGGAGATACCAGGATTATCTGTAAAGCACAGGTTTATTGTCAAGGTTTCATAGTTGAATCAGGAAATGCACACGTAGGATCACACAGGGTCACGAGGCCAAACATTAACGTGCAAGTCTCCTACAGTTTCCTGCAAAAAACACAATAATCTGTTCTGAAAGAATCAAACAGTTACATCAGAGGACTTAGTTTTGTTTGTCTTTTTAAAAAAGGAAAGAAAAATGGGCAAATCTCTATGTAGCATCATCTCACGCTGTTTCTCTGCCTTTCTTCTGTACAGAATCATATTTCTTCCTTTCTTGTACTTTCTCTCTTTGGAGTACAGTACAGCCTTTAAAGTGCTTGTTTCCTCATCGTAACAAGACAACAACATCTCAAGCTCTGGTTTAGGTTTACGTACTGGAGTCCCTTAGGATCCTCTTAAATCTTAGCAGATGGTCAAGAACTGTACTTGGAGTATCTGACTTGCTAGTCCTCTGAGTTAATTCCTACTAGTAAATAAAGAGCATTTACTGGGCACATAGTGGTAACTGACATCCTTTCAAGCAGTGAGAATAGTGGGACACGGGATGGGATTCAGCCCCCGAGAGGGGTGTCAGCATCTGAGTGTCGGATGCTGACAGCTTGGCCTGCTGCTCCAAGCAGAAAAGTAGCAGTA